AATCTCAGCGCGATTGACAGATTAGGTCTACATAGGCCTAAAAAAATAGAGATATCAAGGATGACCAGGGCACAGCGTTGATTCCCATCATGAACAGCTATTTGCATGGTTTGAAGCAGCAAGCTTGTTCCAATACTGTACAGTTTGAACCTGCTGTTTGCAACCGTCTTCATCTTGCCAACAAATTGCGATCTTCTCTGACTAACCTGGATGTGACGATAACCTCGAGGTCAACACTGGCATTTCTTCATCAACAGGTTGACGCTGAATGGAAGCTGATGGAAGCCAGCTTAACTTGGAAGAGCCATAAAGTTGTTCAGGTACCTCGTATGATCACACCAACTTCATCCAGCATCCTGACTCCGATGGCGCAATACGTGACGATGAGATTAGCACCATTGGTAGCAAAACTTGAGTTTGTATTGAGAAACTGAGCGCAACTTGTTGCCAAACAGGAAGCTCTTCAACTTCCGGATGACTGTGTACTTGGCAGTGGAGATATTGTTGATTTCTACCCCAGTACTATTCCTAAATGGTTGCTAAGAGTGCCTTCATTGCTTTATCACATGCGGAATTTCATGATGCATTAGCTGTAGCTGACCTGGCGTATACCATTCTGTAGCACCAGTACGTCGCGGCGAATGGGGTCAAGTTCGGTTGTAAACGCGTGGGACAAGGACAAGGCCTGGCTCTGGCATCGGAAGCTTGTGATATCACTGCTGGCCACTTGATTAAGCAAAATGCTTCCCTCTTGCCCATCCAGCATAGTGCTACCTTCTATGCCCGCTTTCGGGATGATGTTGTTGTTGTTCTGGATGGGCGGATTGACTCCAAGATCCCGGCCATGTTTGAAACCACTTTCAACCAGTGCGCCCCGGAATATGAGGCAAAGTTCTCATGGGACTCATCATCCATCATTTCGCTTGACGTGAAGATTACCCGGCATGGATCCAACTCATATTGCGAGACAGCCCACAAACCTCTTTCGCTATTTGCCATTCCATTCGAACCATCCTGCAACGGTGTTTCGGTCATGGATTGGGGCTGAAATCCGTCGGTATGTCATCCCAAACAGCTCACTTCAATCATCACTGGTGCTTTCCGCAGTTGTTTGAGGAGGTGTGGCTACGATGACACAATGTTGCACCATGTGTTTGCCAACGCAACACAGCTGTACCAACAACGTGATGTGATGCTTTCACATTGCAACCACTGTCGTACCAAGCCCAGAATCATTTCCATGGTCCTTCCGTATGACCCTTTCTTTGTCAGAATGGGTCTGAGCGGCATTGTCAGGCAGATTGGCATACAGCTTTCAAAGCATCTGGACCTTCTTGCCCCTCAGAGTATGCGAACTCTTGTGGTCTTCTCATGAGGCCAACTTGCTTCATTGTCATTTCCTGAGGCGATTGACGCCAAACACAGCGCAATACATTTCTTGAGGTGGGTGGGAGGGCCTTGTTTTTTACACGGGCGTGTAAAAAACATTCTGATTCATGAAGCTCTGTGATTGCTAGGCGGAGGCACTTGGCACAGATCACATCCAGTGCCAAACGTTAACATGATGCCCGCTAGCAATTTTTCATCAAACGTGTAGAATCGGGTGAAAAGGCGCTGAACCAAGCGAGTCTACGTCCAGGTGTGGTGAGTACCTGAGTCACTGGAGAGTTTGTGGGATTATCCCAGCTTTCCAATCCGTACATTCACAGTGTGGTCCAAAACAAGCTTGATTCTGCAAAGTGCGCGCTCCGTGCTCATACCCTGCATTACCCTGAAGCAAGCCATCCAAAATTCAGAAATGTTGAAGGGCCCGGGACCATTTCGCAGCACAGGCAGTGCGCTGTGGAAGCGACAAGATTTTATGGCCAACAAATTGGAGCTTGGAATCCAGCGCTCTAGAATTGTTGGCTCTCCACTCTAATTTGTTCGTTTTGCCGAAAGGCCGCCCCTACCTAATTTGAAGCAGCATCGGCTGCTGCTGCTGATGCTGAGTCAATGCACGACAATAAATGTCATAACTTAAAATGCGCACAACAAAACCACAAATGTTCTATCACTATGACCCAAGGACCATTGCAGTTGAGCTTACTAGCTGGCTGGCCAAGACGGGAGTGACCTGACAAGCTGCACATGCTTCACGCACATCGTGGATGCAAAGAAGGTGGACTTTTCTCAACATGAGGCTCAGACAATCGAAAAGACCAGTAACATGTCCAGAATCATCTGGGCATACGGGAATGGAAATGGGATCTCGGCAATCTTTCTTGCCTCGCTGGAACGAGAGATGACAAACACCAAAACAACAAACCGCACCATTATCAAGTGGCCTGGATGTGAAGCATGTCCAATGCACTTGGCCAAGCAGTCCGAAACACGGCCAAGGGCAGAAAGCCTCTATTAGCCTCTTGTCATCAAGCAATCCAGTTCTATAACATTTCTGTAAAGCATTAGCTAGCCATGTCCGCGTGTAAAGTGTAATTCTTCCTTGGATGCTGCCTGGCTGTCAACCTTCCTGAAAATGCCCTGAATAGTCTGGGGGCTGATGTCAAAACACCAGTGGCAACCCTTTGGCGGCTGCAGGGCGTTCTGAACAACACGATGGCATGAATGCCTCGAAGATCTTGAACGTGCTACTGCCACGGTTTCGGCACCCAGTTTGAAGACATCGTTTCAGGCTTCGGCTTTGTCTGGCCCGTGCTGCGACGAAAGCCAGATTTGCTATCCACCTACAAGCTCTCATTCCAGTACCTATCTGGACATGGATATGTCAAGGAACGCTTTTACCGCCTTCCTCACATGATTCACATCGCCGGTCGGATGTCAAAACAGCGTACATCGCCAACCACGTGTGAACTTGCCAGCCTTTCCCAAAAATCGCCCACTGCAGCCTCGTCGCGCGGTAAACATCAGCAAGAGCTGAGGCCAAGTCCGCAAGCGGACGTCCCAGAAGTGGCGCTGGCACATCTAAAACGCGTACCCGCACACCGCTGATGTTTTCCTCGCGCTGCTTTTGCACAATCAGCCTGGGGCAGCAGGCAAAAGAACTCTCACATGTCTTGAAACATGCTCACAGCTCAGGGTCAAAGCCTGTAAATCCATTGGCTGATGACCTCACACCTGCAAACACAGCTTTGCTTGCTCCGCTTTTCTCAACTTACCACCCCTATGATGCTATCCACACTGCTTGATAGCCCGGCTTGCCTGCTCGGAGCATCATTGAGGTGCAGCAGGCCTGCGTAAATGAACAGATTGTGCAGTCATTGCTTCAAGGATTCTGAGGCAGCTTCTGGTGCGAGGTCTTTAAGTGCCCTTCAGGGTCAGACAAGGCACTCTGCTCGCACATGCCGCCCAAGTCCATGACCTGAATCGCTTTTAAGCAGTTGTTCACGTCAGCTTCGCTTGCAAGCTATCGCGCGAGGTTTGCAAGCATTGTTGGTCAAAGGTTATCGACGTATGCCAGGCCTGCATCTTCAAGTTCTCATCCTGCAGCCAGGCACTTAGATGATGAATTAGCCAATGGCTCTGCTCTATTCTTAGGCTTTTGCGCAGCCTCGGCCTTGGACTTGCGCTTCTGGGCAGCTGTCTGGGGATCTTCGCTGGCAATGTCATGACAGCAGGACGAGAAAAGCAAACCTTAGCAGATCTTATCCGAGCTCACAAAATCATGCACCTCTCCGATTTCTTCGTCCAGGTGGCTCATCAAGAGGATGAGAAGATGCTGGAAATCATCCACTTGCTTCTGCGCAGTCGCGTTCCTGGTCAGACTGATTTGATCACAGCTTGCAATGGCTTGCATGGGTACAAGCTGTCATGTTACAAGAAACAGCAAAGCAGGGCAAGCAGCGCTGGTTCGCAGCAATAAGCACAAAGCGTGCTGGCACAGTTGAACAGTTCTCCGCGAAGCTCGTGCATCTTGGATGCAGCTTCCCAAAATCTGTTGTACGCCTGCTGAAATGATGCACAGGCACGGTGAACACATGCTGTCCACTTCATGCACGAATGCTTGCCTGGTTGTTGCGGAAAACAATAAGAAAGCCGAGCACGAATGTGTAGCCCCCCCAAATAGCCATGAAGCCACTCACCTAGCGTACATGAGTCTTGTAAAGTCATGAGACTGCTTGCACGAATGATGCGGCCGCTCCTGCGGGTTGTCTTCACCTTTCAAATCTGGACTCCACGTCACATGAAGGCCGACAGCCTTGGAAGAGAGACGTGTCGATGCAGAATGGCCTACAGGGTGAGAGCCTGACCCCACTAACCACTGTAGGCATCCAAAATTCGTTCCAATTACCCCAAAATCCTGCATCTTGCTGCAGAGATGGCGCGAGCAAAGTGGATGGCAGGGAGAAGATAAAACCTCTCGGCAGAACGGAGCCGTGAAGTCCTTGGCTGGATTACCCGCCTGCAATTTGTCAGCCCGTCCTGAATAATTTGCAGCCTTGCCCAGGCCCCTGCGAAGGAAGATTGCACTGACTGGTTGCAGTGTCGCTCTAGGACTGCGGCGGGCAGCAGAGATGGTCTAGCAGAATGCGGCCATGTGTCCGAAAGCTGTGCCAAGGAATCCTTTCGGCCTTCAATCAGACAAACATGTGAATCCACACGTGTTGTAAACGGGTCCGACGAGGCTAGAAATCCACTTCACGCGTCCGAGGTGCTGCGCTCGCTCCTTGTCATGACGTACCACGTGCCCATCCGCACCAGCACTGCCCAAGCCCATGATCCAATTTGATTCAACTTTACAGGTCGTCCAGTGGCTGCGGCTGTTGGTTTGTTCAGCATGTCTCTGGCCTTTTCATCTGATGAGGCGTCCAAGTTGAGGATGATACAAGAAATGACACGCTGACTTTCTAAAAAGGGCGCTGACGTGTTCTGATGTTCATCATGCGAGAGAGGCTGGCGGGCAAATGCCTTGCAATGCGAAATTTCGAGCCAATTTTCAGACAAGGCAGGTCCAGCTTGCTGTTGCAGGGGACATTTCTTCGATGACATGCTGGTTCGGCCAGGTCATCGCATAGCAGGACTATGGCATCACGCCAGTAGAAGCACCTGGTGCAAGTTTGGCAAGCTGAGGCAAGCTGACAGCAGGCATGAACGTCATGGCGCCAGTGGTCCAAGAGATCAAGCCGTCGGAGTGCTCCGCCATCCACGCTAACGTGCCTCAAAACTTGCTGGGTTCGGGCCGTGGTGTGGCAACTCTCGTGCTGAGCTGCTCTTGGACACTTTCAGTCTACAAACCTGAGGCTGTATCAAAGATGGTGCGTCTGGTCCTGGCAGCTGGCAGCACATCAGTGTCTTCTGAAGGATGTGGAAATTGGAAAGCACCATCTTCGCCTAACCGGATTTTGTACAACCCGATCAAGCCATCTTTCAATCAGTCACAAGGGGCTTAGGGCCAACTTTGCCTAGTTTGCCCTTCGCGCTTGTTGCCGTGAGTTGTCTGACGCTGCACTCTCCCTGTGTTCCCTCGGAACTTTCTGGTAGGCAAGCGTCCACCAACACATGAGCACGTGAATGCAAAATTGTGAGAGTGTCGGCGTTGGGGGGGAATTAATGGGTCTGCCCCACTTGCCCCACTTGACCCACTTGCTCCACTTGCCCCACTTGCCCCACTTGCCCCACTTAACCCACTTGCCCCACTTGCCCCGCTTGCCCCACTTGCCCACTTGCCCCACTTGCCCCACTTGACCACTTGACGAACTTGCCCCACTTGACCCACGCGACCCACTTGACCCACCCACTTGCCCCACTTGCCCCACTTGCCCCACTTGCCCTGCCCCGCTCGCCCCACTCGCCCCACTCGGTTCGGGGCAAGTGGGGCAAGTGGGTCAAGTGGGGCAAGTGGGTCAAGTGGGTCAAGTGGGGCACGTGGAGCAAGTGGGGCAACCACTTGACCCACTTGCCCCGAACCGAGTGGAGCGAGTGGGGCGAGTGGGTCGAGTAGTGGGGCGAGTAGGGCGAGTGGAGCGAGTGGAGCGAGTGGGGCGAGTGGGGCGAGTGGGGCGAGTGGGGCGAGTGGGACGGGCCGCGTTAAATTTCCCCCCCCCTTCCCCGGTCGCAATGAAAATCGAACCACCTTCACGAGTTCAATGTTCCTGACCCATGTAAGCTCCCCGCCAAGCAGGGTCATCAGACCACAAGCACGACCTTTGAACGGAATGGTCGCCTAGCAGAGAAAACAGCGCAGGCTGCAGTGGGCCTTGTTGAGCTGCTTCTTCTACTTGGAAAAAGCCCACAGGAAGATGCCTTACCCCCGGCGTAGAGAAGAAACCAGTCCTCCCATGGCAATAGCTCACCCGATGCCAAGTTGACACGCATCTGATTTGGAGCAAACCGGAAGATGCTTGTTGCACGTCTGTCCGCTTGCTCTCCAAGGTGTAGCACGTCCTCCGGGCACAGCTTTGCGTTGGTACGTGCCGGTCAATTCTGTCACGCAGAGGATTTTGTCGAACATGTCCTATAAAACTAAGTCCTGGAATGGGACTGAAACTTGCTCCATGCTTCACAGCTTGGTACACTCTTTGCCAAGGCAGAGCAAGGGCTGCGGATCGTTGAGGAAAACAGTAAATGTCTTGTTCGGGCAATTTGCTGCTGGATATGGTGCAGAGGACTCCTGATTGAAAAGGGCACTTTTGAAGCACATTGGTGTCATTTTTGAGTTTTTGTTGATGCTTGGTTATGGCACCATGCCACTGCTGCATATGCTTCTGGCAGGGCTTCTTTTAGCTTGCTTTTCCAACTACCCTGATCTTCCAAGCTGGGATCTTAGAGACCTGCAGTCATGAATGCAGTTTCAGTCAAGGTCAAAACGCCGGCGCAACACATGGGTATACGATTCCCATCAAGGTTTTAAGAAGTGACCAGAAGCTACTAACTTCATGCAAATTCAAAACCAAAAAAAGCTCCAGCCAGCTTGCTTAAAAATCTTGTAGCTTTCGCTGTCCGTGCTGACACCTTGCTCGCGTGCGTCTACATTGGCCCCATGCAAACCGCATTGCTCTTTCGGAGGTGCTAACCAAGGGGCTTCCAACGAGAGCATTTCATTACGGGCAGTGCTGCGCCGGCATCCAACCACACAATTGTGATGAAGATTTCAGGGGAATCTTCACGACTGCAACACAACTTCAAGGCTGCACACCTTGTCTTTCCGGATTGATACCCGAGATTCTGGGCCCAACCATCCGCGAAGGACCTCAGTTCTTTCAAAGTATCATGCTGCTCGTCCTTCCGAAACGTGGAATGAGGCAACTTTGGCTGATGACCACGATTTTGACCAGATTTGCAGCATTTCCACCGTTGCAATTCAGACAGATAAATTGACGCTCCGGCCCGCATTGTTTTACCGTTGCACCAGCAGCCGGCCTTGCAAAGGCTCTATAATCTATGAGGGGAAGTCTGACGTTCATGCAAGTAAAACGCTTTGGCCCAGCAGTTTGGGCACCAACATCCAAGGCTGCGGGAACCTTCAGCGAATGCATTGGCCCCATCGGGCAATTTCCGCATGCTGGGTTTCTGATACTGCAGAAGCCCGACCCGTGAGTCTGCAGCTCTCGGCGGCTTCCCCATCTCCAACTCGGGCCTCGGCTGCGCCGCTACCAACAATTTTTTGCAGCGCAGGTGAGCTTTGATCTAATCAACTGTGTGGCGGATGCTTCCATGCAGCTTCTGTTGACCAGTGCGCGGCCAACTTGTTGCAGCGCAAGCTTTGCAACGCTGAGCGCACAACTGGCGAACTGCCCACAAAAGCAACTTGGCCAGCAAGTTGCCCAAGGCTTCCCCACCAACATCTGAATGATGACCTTGCCAGCCGACTCTGCAACATCTGCATGGGCCTTGCATGCCTTGCGCTCATATCTGTGAGGACGCTACAGTCATCGCGAAACCATTCCTGCCGCTTGTCCGCACTTAAAGCGCGGAATGCCGGAACCTCAACAACACACAATATTGCCGCCTCAACACAACAGTGACCGTGGTCATTAACCTGCCATAGAGAAACCGGACGACACCCCGGACCGCGATAGGAAACGTCTTGCGTACATCAGGCAGCCTATTTTGCGCCTTTGAGATGTCACAATGTCCCTGCGCGCGACCCCTTGACCAAATGTAAAGTTTCTCTAACGTTCTCCATAATTCTCTTCAAGGACCAACCGTCAAAAGCCGAAAATGGCTAAAACAAGGAGGATATGCTTCTTTGAACAAAGATTCCCTAGGCTACGAACTCTTGTGTCTCTGTCTTGTTGTCAGCGTTGCTCTCTTAATTTTCTCGACTTTCGTCCGCACGGTAGCAGGGGATCCTGCCTGGCAAGTTCCAGCACAGGGTCTGTGGCTGCTGCAACCAAACGTGAACACCGTTGGCCGGCTTGTGGTTTAATGCAGGGAAACTGAGGGTGGATTTGCCAAACAATTGTAGATTCTCTTTCGTGTTTGATCCGTGTTACTAATCAGTGTTAATGCATTTTGGGGCCCAAACAGGCTTTGGTGAAATCTGAACTGAGTTCCGACTTTAATGTGGCTCCCAAATCTAAGCACAAAGCTCAGCCCTTCAAGGATCGCAAATTCGCGACAACCTGCCTGAAGCTTCGCATCGATGTTATAATCTTGACCTTATGTGTAGCCAGGGTCCAACAGTTTTGTATTTGCAATTATTACGTGGCGAGTGCAAGGTGTATCTGCCCGTTTGCTTCTTCAACGCAACTTGGGCATCTGTTTCCATTCGCGGTTTCTAGAGCTTTGCATGCTCGTTTGTGATTGTGGTGTTAGCTGACATGGACAGCCTCCTTCGCCCGCGTTCCGCAGGATCCGGCAAGCTCCCCTCTTCTGACACATCATAGACATCGATGTTCATTCCGCTCCTTCTTGTTGTATGGATTATGTTCAGTCCCAAAATTGGAAATGGTGTGAAACATCTGGTCTAGCTAGCACAGAAGCCAGCTGGATCGAATAGCAGCTTCAGTTTGTAGCAGAATTGGAAAAGCGAAGCTGGCATGCTAAGGCACCTCTTCTTGACCCTCACCTGGAAGGGCTTGCGCTGCAAGGATTTGCCGGAAGAATCAATCCCGATGGCCTGGGCCTGACTCGCCTGACTCAGGCCATCCCAGCTCCATTCCCAGATTTCACACCACACAGGACTACACAGAGACAGGCGAGGCCGCGAGGCAGGCTGCGCTGACAGCTGTCAGACATTCAAGACTGCTCTCACCCATCTTGAGGACCCAACTAGATCAATCTGTGCCAGTCCATAGCGATAGCAAATGTGACCTCAGGAGATGAAGCTGTGCTTAGAATCTACGTCACTTCGGCATCTTTACCCTTCACAAAGCTTAGTTATGGTCGGTGCAGTCGTGGCGCCACGTCGTGGTACCAAACGATTGCCTCCTGCTGCGCATGGCGAAGGAGCAGCGGAGGATGCTGACTTCGCGCCTCCACTGAACTGTGCCGCCAAGCTCCCGATCCGGTTTTCAAGGTGCGCACCTCCGGGTCCACTACAAGTAGTTGTTCAGAGGAAAGCTTTCATGGCATGGTGTTCAGGCCGGCTGGCGCAGGCCCCTTGCTAACTTGCTTTAGATAACAACCAGGAAGCACCTCCGCATCATCACGGAGAAACATCTCAAGGAATACAATTGAAGTGCCTCAAAATGTGATAGAGAATTGCACTGCACCATGCAAATGTGGTACTTACCTCACACAACAGCGCTTGGAAGCTGGCTTGGAGAGGCTTTGCGCACTGTGCGCACTATGCCCTCTGCCGCTCTCAGGATTGATGCAGCCTCTATCGCAACTACGGCCAATGTTGCCTCCAACAGGCCTAGCGGCCTAGCAATGTGGGGAGGTTTTCATCAATTTGAAGCTGAGTTCGGGGGGGGGGGAGGTGGCCTAAGTGCGTCTTGCTTACGCAGTGGAGTGCAGCAAATACGCCTTGTAAGGGCCTGGGCTGTTGGCGGTGGCCTTGTGTGGTGGGTATGCTCAAATCCGCGTTGCACTCAAGAAGCTTGCGCTAATCTACCTGCTATAGGCTTAGCTTTCACATCAGGCCCCAATTGCACACACAAAATGCCAGGTCATTTATTTTCAGCTTCCTATCAAAGGAAGGCTCAAGCTCGCTCCCACGAAGGCTGCACATGAGAACAAAAATTCAGCCACCCTAGGGTGGCTCTGAAGACACGCCTACGTAAATCAAAAATTACAGATTCAGCCATGCCAGGGTGGCTGAATCTTTGTCCTCTGTGGCTTACTGGCAGCTAGCATTGGGCGGTGTTTTCGACCCTCCAGGGTCCGCTCTGGTGGCCGGGTCCCTTGCTGGAAGTTGACAGCTTAGTAGAAGGCTTAGGAGTCCCGAGTGGCGCTGGTGACTGCCTATGCGAGGTTGTCTCGTCTAGTCTGGTGGTTCAGGTTTGGATGGACGTCTTGTCCGGCACACACACACACACTGTGCAGCTACTTGCGGCCATAACTCTGCCACAAAAGCATGACCATCCCTGCGCGTTGGGTGCGTGTGTTGACTCTTCGCATCCCTTCGCCAGATTTCAAGTCTGGCAGCTAGGCAACTTGGATGGAGGGGGGCGTGGAAGGGAGTCGGGGGAGCAGGAGCGGGGAGCAGAGGCGCATCAGTGCCACATGCAAAGAGAACTCTTCGTTATGATTTGTCAGTGTTGCTGCGGAGTGTTAGGAGGGATCCAACTCAAGATTTCTTAGCTCCCGCATGTTCCACAGCTAGAGACTGCACAGCAGCTGCGATGTTCAGCAAAGAAAGACTTCACAGCTGTCTGCCACGTAGCATTTGGGCATGGTGTGCTTTCCAGGAGATCATCTCCATCATTCACCGCAACCTGGCCCATGTACCATCATGCTCTGGGGCTCATACGCCGAGAATGAACTTTAAGGCATTTACTTCTTTTGGGAACCGCCCACGCCATATCAAGGAGGACAACTATGAATGCCTAGGTTGCAGATCACATGACGCAGGGCCAGAATCCTGGGAAAAACACAAAATCTTTGATGCCCGGAAGATACCAACCTAAGCTTAGATGCCGTGACCGCACATCTATGTTGGGCCTCAATGAGCAGAAGATCTGGACGCTTTGTTAACACCATATCGTGCACCACAAGCGAAAGCCTCAGGACGAAGTTACGTTGTGCAATGGAGTGGTCGCAACTTGAAGGCCCCTGCGGCCGGCTGCCCGCGGTCCCGACAGCTGCAGGGATATCCTCTATACTTCTACAGCACATGCCACGCAAAATGGGTTTCTTGTGCAAGTAGCCGCACATCCTCCACCGCCACGCCTCGCCGTTCCAAGGCGCGGATCAGATGCGGGCGATACCTGCTGCAATGTCGCATTCTGAAAGACATGGATAGCACCCCCCTTTTCAGAGCACAGAGCAGCCAACACCTATAGATATGGTAAACTGACTGAGTGCCACTCCAAATAGAAATTCAGAGCATGCAGCCATGTTGACAGCAATGAGGGTGCATGGAAACCATCAAGCATCACCATCATCGTCATCATCACATGAAGAGCAGTGAACAATCATTAGCAAAAGGAACCATTCATTCACTCGCCAAGTCGCGCAATCATAAACCAATGCTGCGGAGTGGCAATAACAAGGGGCAACTGTTGGCATGATTCACCCCAAACAACATAAGCCCTCAGGCAAAACAGCACAAGTGACACCTGTATGGCCGACCTATGCACCATGATTGCATGCAAATCTCACTCAAGTCGTGCCGGCCAGGCCCGCGCGTCTGGAGTGAGATGGAGCCACCCAGCACGCAAATACTGCATCGGCGTCTTTTAAGTGCCTTGCTCATCAGGACCGACTGCAACGATGGCAGCTGGATAGCAAGGATAGCTGAGCCTGAAACCGGGATCAACGACCGCAAGCCCCCAGGCCTAAGCACACGCAGCTAGCAACAAGTCGAACCTCCAACGCAGCTGCAACTGGTTGATGCAATATGGCCATACACATTCACCATGCAGCTGGCTGGGCATCCAACTGAAACACCAAATTCTTGAAGTTGTCCTCCTGGTCAAATCTACCTGGATGAAACCAATACGCTGCCAGCAAAATGAGGTCCAGTGCTGATGACAAAGCCGACCTTGGACCCGTGGCGGGCACCAGGAAGCACACGGATTAACCTGCTGATCCAATGAAACAAGCTGAGGCGGAGGAGGAAAAGCCATCATGCGGTATGCTTGGCTGCTCTGAAAGCCGTGCCCCTGCAGGTAGGGCAGACGTGTGTTCCGTGACATGCAACTTCCAGCATTGATAATTGAAAGCGTGCTCATGCTGACAGACAGCCGGTGATTGCTCCAGGCAGTTGTCCAACTGTAGCACCGAGTTGAAGCATGTGTGCTGCACGCTCAGTAGATTTTGGTGGCCAGAAATCTATCAGCCATGTCAAGTGAACGAATCACATCTAGAAATGGGAAGTTGCGCTTGAGGCATTCCTCGCTTTGCTCAGTTTTGTGTGAAGATTCGAATCCTCGTGCTAGGCTCCCCCCTTCACATTTGCTGAGGTGCAGCGTTTAACCTTTTGCCTGCATTGAGCCAGAAGCCAGCCTGAACATGCACCTCCGCAACCGGCACGGAGAAGACTTTGTCCTGACGTGTTGTTGTGTTCAGCACCGCCCCACGTCTTTCAAGTTGTTGCCTCAGGAGGAGGCATGCCAGGCGAATTGAGCAACTCCACCTTACAAGGCCACTGAAATGAAACGGAAACTGTAACCTGCTGTCAGATTCTGTCAGTGCAGCTTGGTATGCTAGGCCTGCCAAGGAGTTCTGCCAGATCGAGCTGGCAGCTTGTGACAGAGGGCGGCATTTCATTCAACAATGGGTTCAACAATTAACTTTTGGAAGCTGATCGCCATCGTCATGCCGGGTGCCCCTTTAGGATCTGTTCTTTGCATAATGGAGCCTGCGTTTTACAACAGTACTTCACGGGGCGCCGATGGCCCCTCTGAATCCAGGAATCTTCTAGGCTAGTTTCTGGGCCTCGTGCGGTAACCTATTAGTGCAAGTCCACCCTGGAGGCGCCTGAAATGGAAGCTCAGGAACGGAGCCCCAGCCTGCGAAATTAATGGGCTAGGTGTTTTTTCTTATGCTCCGGGCTGGCGGGTGCTCGGTTTTATTCCCGCTGTTTTTTCTGTTATGCGGAAGTGTTTGGTTTTTAAATCTTCCCTTTGTAAATGTGCTTGGTTTTATGCCCACCGTGATTTTTCTTATGCAGCCCGCCCCCGCACAGAGCATCAGCATACTATCACCCCTTACTGAGAAAATTAGACCCCCCCCTTGCAATCATTTCCAC